ATCAAAGTCCCTACTACTGCTCATTCCACAAATGCATGTTCCTTACAAATGTGGCACTACTTAAARGGAAATTAACAGGTTTCTCTAACAGTATGAGATTTATTACCAAGAAGCATTGTTAAAGATTTAATCCAAACCCAAATATTATTACATTTTCTAAGTTTATATTTTGTGTAGAAAGGCTACGAATAGACCTTTTTGTAATTGTATGAAAACACTGGAATTGTGCAAATTCAACAAGCTTAAAAAAGCAGATTTATAGCTTAGATATTTCTGAAAAAAAAAAAGCAACTCATCTATGATCCTAAACAGGAAAGTTAAACACAAATCAGTTTAGCACAAATACACCGAGTCTGTAGAACGAGTTAAATTTACTGGTTGAATTTCTGCAACTCCAATGGGGTTTTTATAGCAACCTTAGCGTTTAGCATGAAAACCATGTGAGCTCAGCTTGCTTTGCACATTTGTAACAATTTAACAAAATGGTCTTACTTCAACATCTACAACCATGGCAAGGCAGTTTCAGTTAGCTGTAGCACTTCTAGCACTATTAGAGTATTTGTTAAAATAACCATCTTTCTAAAGTGACAGTAGTGTAAAGGTTTACTTGTGGGTCCTATAGTTTCTAATATTTATTACTTGTTACTGTAAGTGACTGAACTGCCTGTAATTTGCTTGAATCTAGATCTGTTTTAAAAGAGATTGGACTTGTTGTGCTTTGAGACTAATTGTTGTAAACTGGTGTTTTACGGATCAAACTGACTGGATTATGGAGCTACCTGCAGCAGGTAAGATGGTAATTGCTCAATGTTTTCACAGAACCCACTCAGAAGACCTGAACTATCACTTTGACTGCATTGATCCTGATCATCTACATMACACGCAATCAAAACTGGTCACATGTTGATAAAAGTTAATCTGGTTCATTGATCTACTCTTTCCTTTAAAACGCTGGTTTGATTATTTTGGATCTTTTGGAGGTCATTGCCCAATTCAAGGCCATTTTGTTGAACTTTAACTCTTGTTTGAGTTGGGTCATTCATATTGTTCTGCACCGAACATTTCAGATCAGGTTGATAAAGCGTCACTAAAAGCCTGGATTCAGTTGGACCCACAAATCGAATGACTTGCTTTTGTAGTGGAGGACTCTGAGGCTCTCTGCCTGCGTCGTCTAGGAGGGCGCCGCTGTTTCTGGCCTTGGCCATCTGTTGTTTCTCCGTTGGTGTGAGGGCTGTCTGGGGTCTCCGCCTGCTTCCCCTCATCCTGCTCCTTGGTCTCCACTGGAGGCGGCGGCAGCGGTTTCTGGTCATCCGTCGACTGATCGGGAGGTGGGCGAGGGCGGTACGGTCTGCGTTTAACACGGACATTTTAAAACTGAAAATAGGAAACGGCTCTAAGGAGTTCAGGGGTCTTGTGTCAGCATTAAGTTACCTGCGATAAGGACGCCAGAAGCGGCGGCGTGGAGGTCGCTGCTGTGCCTGATCGCCGTCTGCGACCTCATCCTTAAGTTCCTCGACTTCACTCTGATGAAAAGACAAGAAAAAAAAAGTTACAGGAGCAGCTGTTTTCATTTTAAAAACCAGAGGTTCAAACACGTTTAGGCTTCAGCTCACGTTTTGAACTTCCGGTCGTGGTCTCCGCGGCCTCCGACGACGCAGCTGCTGAGGCCTTCCCGTCACGTTCTCTTCCGTTCTGTTCCCCTCGGGAGCAGCCACTGTCTGGTCGTCGGATGGTTTGCTCTGGTCGCCAGGGAGAGGACTGCGGGGGAAGAACCGTCGACGGAAACGCCGTTTGTTGGGAGCGTAGCGGCTGCCTTTTACCGGAGCGCCTTCGGGGCCGGTCACGTTGGCGGCCTCCGAGCCCTGGGTAATCCGAAACAGAACGACAGATCTAAAACTGGAACTGTTAACGTGATTTAATCATCCGAGTTTCTCCTCTTTTTACCTTGGCTGCTTCTATTACGTCAAACTCTACAATTTCCCCATCTCCAACACTGCGAAGAAACTTCCTAGGATTGTTCTTCTTGATGGCAGTCTGAAGAAAATATTAAAAAATATATATATTTTTGGGGTGGTGTCATGATTTTTTTTCCCAAGTACGTTTTTGAATTTATGTCTTTAAACAAATCATGAATCCAACACTGAAGTATTRTTGCACTGAAATATTTCATCATTGCGTTTCCTGATATCATTTCTCAAAGGCACAATCAATTTTTAATTGAGGCTGAATGAATGGATTTATGAAGAAATGTGAAATACAAAAGCAGTGTTCTGATCTCTCAAAATAAATGAGATTTTATCAGATTTTTATGCACATACTGAACGGTGTGCTCTTTATACTTTAATTAGAATATGTTGGAGAAATAAATGGCAAAACCCAATATTTCCTGATTTCATCACTGAAAAATACAAAATCTAAGTCATCACTGATTTTATTTGGTGCTTGAGTGGAAGGACTGCACAACTCCTCTATTAAAAATCTTACCTGATGAACAAAGACATCTTCCTTTGTGTCATTYCTGTGAGAAATTAAAGTTTGAGACGTCAATATTTAAAACAAATAAATAAAAAAAAGCACTACAGTGAGCAAAAATACCTGTTTATGAAGCCATAGCCGTTACGCACATTAAACCATTTCACCGTGCCTTGAACTGCTGAGGCTGCAACAAGAAACAATGTTCAACATTTTACAATAACTTCTCGTTGTGTTAAAACACAGCTACACGGCCATGTGCTGTTATCTCGCTCGGATTAATGGCAGTCTGACTTTTATCATCAATCATTAACAGTGAGACTTTGAAACCAGCTCTTTAAGTAGGTCATAAAGCAGAGCTGAGCAACTTGTTAAAAACCACATATAAAAATCTAATTTATATTTTAAAAACAATGTATAATATTAGAAAAATCAACTATGAAGCCTTATTAAAACAAGAGGGTGGTTTTGTTCAAATTAAAACACTTAAAGGCTTTAATTGGTACTTTTTTTTTGTTTTAATCTTCAGTAGAATGAGTTGCAGCTGTGAGTGCGCGCGTGCGCACTTCTTGGCCTGCTGAAGCGCGCTCGCGACAAATGAAGATTCGGGTCACGTGCCCGCACTTTTACTAGCTGTATTAGCCCATTTTTCTCCTTTAAATTGACAATAAATAAATAAAAATAAAAAGACAGTATTTAAAGTCACTTAAATTGGAGCCCATTTGATTATACAAGTCGTGGTAAAATTCTCAGTTTAAGAAAATGAATAAGTTTATCATAAGTTGGTYTAAATGAAACCTGAAGGTTTGATTTTGGCTGCGGTTCGGCGGCGCTAACAGGTGTCCTGTCAGTGAACGGGTCCAGATTTATGGCTGTCTGTCGAGTTATCTTCACCCTCCATCGCCAAAACAAGCAGCCAACTTCTACAGCAGGTCAACAAACCGTATTAGCTTGCACGAGGATATTATCGCCCGTCACTTCCCCCTGAACTAGCTGGTTTTTAACCCACCTATGACTTTCCTCTCGGGCTGGGCTTTGGGCTCCAGCGGTGGTGGAGGTGGAGCGCTCTGCGCCTCGACGTCGGTCATGCTCGCTGCTGTTCGGCTGCTGTTCTCTCCTCTGGGTTAACCCCCTCCCTCTTTACTCCTCCGCTCTTCCCCGAAAGTTTTGCGCCCGCCCCCCCGGCTAAGTTTTTATGCCCAACATGCCCTCCCGCCGCCCGCCGGAAGCCGCGCCCTTATTGGCTACGCCAGAGCTCGAGCTGGGATCTAATTGGCTGCGGCTGTGAGGGCTGGGTCGTCCAATTGGGAGGGAAAACTTGACAGGTGGTGGTGAAGGAGGACAGCCTGATTTCTAATGCTGGAGTTACTTTTAACATTTAAACACGATTCTGTTAAGATTTGAATAATAAAAATTATATTTTTATAATGAAAATTAATGTTTGTAAGAAACAAATGATTTATGTTGGC